TTTTGCAAAGCAATGAAATTATGTCAGGTTGAAGCATGAGCTAATGAAGACTGGGCTGTTAAGCCTTTGGAAGAGCCTGTCCTTACTGTTGTATAGGAGTTCTCAAAATGTGTGTTATCTTTTCAGTTTCTCCACTGTTCCTCAGACAGCTTCTCTGTATTTTCCTATACAAGGAAACACTGCCATAGTTTTATAACCCTGTTATGTATTTTGGAAAGATCAATACACTTTTGGATTTTTAGTACCTGTTTTTTTTCCTCACAGAGTAGTTGAGGCTGGATGGGACCTCTGGAGATTATCTAGTCCAGACCCTTTGCTCAAAGCACATTTTATTGGAGCAGGTGCCCAAGGTGGTGAGTTGGAGTTTGGATATTTCCAAGGATGAAGACTTCACAAGCTTTCCCTGGAAGAGATTTGCTATGTACTTACAATTCATTACAGCTTGTCTTCCTGCACAGAAAAGTAGCTTTTACTGTGTGTAACGCTCCCAGGTGCTGAATTATTCTGTTATATTTTTTTTAATCCACACATGAAAATATTACAGGCAACCATTGCTTCCAGTTCAACAGTATGTAGCTGGTCTATGAAGAATTGGAAACCCAGAGACACTGGGTAGTGGTGGTCTCATTACAATCCAGACTGCTAGAAAGTTTGCTAGCCGAATTCACAGAGTGCAACCACTAAGCAAGTGTGTCTGTGAAGAAGCTAAGGAGCAATACTGGGGAACTCTGGCATGTGGAAAAATACCTCATACTGGCCTGAATGTTCAGCTTCAAAATACATCAGAGGAGACCAGATTGGTGCTGCAGAAGGGGTGCACCTGCTTTGAAATCTTACAGGCATGGTGCAAAAGGCACTTCATTTGTATGTTGCAAGCTTGACATGCAGACGGTTTTAATAAATCCCTTAAAGGCAGCATGGATAACTTTTATGAAATTCATTTAATGGAAGCTCTCATAAATAATTTCCACACATTATACAGTATCTACACTTACTGTATGCCATCTGAGCAGATACCAGAATTCCAGGACTGAGCCATCTAGCTGGTGCAGCTGTGGAGGCAATGACAAGATTGGTGTCGCAGCAAAGATGCCAGCCACTACATTTAGTTAGCACCCACAGAAGGTAGGTTAATTCACAATTAGGCAACCATCTTCTAATAAATTATCCACCTTTTTCTCTGAGCAGAGGTGCAGCCATGATAATGCAGGAAAGAAGAGTGATGGCTTCAACAAGTACAAATGCAATCTCGAATAGCTTAAGTAAATAGGGAAGGTGTTATTCATTTCAATCACGTGAGCCATATGCACACTGTAATGAAAACAGTAATAATAAGCCATTGTATTCAACAGGACAAGTGAGTCAATAAAATACATTGTGACACTTTTGGAAATATAAATTGGTTATGATTAACTTTAGAAGCATTGCCTTGTCTTTTGTAAAATAGATGAGTGGATTTAGGAATTCATCCAGCAAAAAAAGGCAGCCAAGGGCTTTGCTACTTCCAGCAAATACTCCACAAGTTCTTCCACATCACTCTTACACTTGACCTTACCCCTGACCTGCAACAATGTCTCATGCTCCCTCTCCTTCTCTGGTCTTTTGGTTTTGCGTTCTTTCTTTACTCACCAGATACTCTCTAGGTTTCTTAGAATTTGTTTGTTCCTAGAATATAAGCAAGTATTGTCCAAGGATGACATTAAAACCAGCAGATTGATTCCGGTCACGGTATGAAGCAGAGACGTGTCTTCTGGTGCAGCAGGCAGGAGTGGGCTTGCAGAGGCATACCTTGACAAGACCTTCTCTATGCCTCAGCCATGCAGCTCAGCATTGTGGACAGGATAAAACCCACTAATGGGTTTAGTGGCCTCAAAAAAGCCATAAGCATAGGAAACTAATTAACTAGCTTTTTGCGTAATGTTTTTTTATGATCAAGTGTGAGCAGCTAATAATACAACCAAAGCAGAGAAATCACTGACTTCTTTAATCATGATTCTGGCAGAACATGAAGAAGAAACCTCAGTTTGGCTCATTGTCACATATTTCTCTCTTAAAATCAAGCAGCATTTCTAAATCCTATAGCAGCTTTGATCACACTCAGTGCTGCTTTGGAAGGATCCTTTCTCCAGGAATACAGCATCTTTGACACTTGTTGCTTAGGTCTTTTGCCACCCATGATGCCCATCTTCAATTTTTTCCTATTCCTTTATTTAACACTAGCACAACTAAATATGATTCAACATATTTTTGTTCACTGCCCATGAATTATTCTAACATAAAATACCAGTACTAAAACCTAGTGTTTCCTATCCTATATACCACACGAGAAGTGTAAGTTATTCACATTCACCTCTGAAAATGTGACCTGTGCTAGGAGAATAAAAGCTCAAGAGGTTTGTGACTCCTACTTCTCCACTGTTTCCCCAATTATGATTGCTCTTCTTCTGTCAATAGCATTTTCTTCTCCAAGCTACTGCCTTTGATACACAATCTGATTTTTTCATGGCAACTTGTGATTCGTCATCTTTCTGCTCATGCCAACATCATCTCCAGGGCATTTTCATTATGAGTTTCTGATAAATTCCCAAGATGGGGGCTAATTTTAAAATAAGAAAATTGTGTTTTCAAAAACTGCTCAGATGTAGAAAAGCCTAAACTAATAGATTTGATGGGGGCAAACTTTTATGAGGCTGAAAAGGAAAATGATGTTAACTGTGTTTGCTTTTGCAGATTTTGTCATCATTCATGTTTCCAAGGGAAACGCTACTGGTTTAAGTGCAGGAATTCATAACTTTCTGAAATCTCTGTGATAAATATGACAACTGACGCTTAAGGAATATCTGTTACCCAACCCAAAGGAGCTATTTTTATCTTCAAATAGACCATGCAACCAGTAAAGCTTTATGGCTTCTAGTCATGAATTTATTTGCCACCTTCTCCTTGAGGGACAACAAATATAGCCTTATTACCAAGAGGAGCAGCCTTTCCTTGGTGTGACAGATAAAGAATTTAATCATCTGCCTTAAGTCTTTGTCAGACATTCCTTATTGATGTGTTGACAATGAAATGTCCAATAGGTCCTCAGAGCACTAATTTTGTTTTACTTGTTTGTTTGGATTGGTAAGGAGTGACAATGGAAACAGCTAGTTTTAAACTTCAGCATCAACCTAAACAAAAAAATTACCCTTATATCACTGGGAGAGCAACTATTTCCAGAAATCCTGCCTGTCAGCACAAGTGAAAAAGGGGGGGGGGGGGAGGGCAGATCTGAAGGTTAAGAAGGCCCACTGATTTTCTCATAGAAAATGTCCTGTTCATGTGTCCTTAGCCCAAAATTTGTTAACTACAGAGAAACTTTCTGTCCTGGGTTCAGCAGTAGCAGTCATGTTTTTCCTTTGTGTTAGCTGGTGCAGCGCTGTGCTTTGACTTCCAGCCTGGGAACAGTGTTGGTGAAGCCGATGTTTTCGGTTGTTGCTAAGTGATGTTTACCCTGACCAAGGACTTTGTGAGGCTCATGCTCTGCCAGGGAGGAGGGGAAGCTGTGAGGAAGCAGAGACGGGGCGCCTGACCCGGGCTAGCCGGGGAGGTATTCCATACCACAGAATGTCATGCCCGGGGTGGGGGGTAACTGGGAGTTACCCGGAAGGACACGGGCTTCCGGGTGGGACTCGTTTCTTGGCCGGGGGTATTGTATTCTCTTCCCTTGTTATTTTCCCTTATCATTGTTGTAGTTGATAGTAGCGGTGGTGATTTGTGTTGTACATTGGTTGCTGGACTGTTCTTGTCTCAACCTGTAGGAGTTGCACTCTTTCGATCCTCCTCCCCGTTCCTCCGGGAGCGAGGAAGGGGAGAGCCCCGGTGGGGGAGGGGGGGACACGGACCTCTATTGTTGTCCGCTCGGCACCACTCACTGGGAGTGAGTGAACAAGTTACCTGACTGGGTTTAAACCACGACACTTTCTCACCCTTCAAAGCTGAAACAGGTACTCGGCTCCTTTCATCGGTGCTTCATGCACAGCAGCATGTATGCTGCATACGCAGGGACTATGGTCTGTGAGGGTGGGTCTTGCCTCAGCTCTGTCTCCCAGTCTTTGCTGTCCATTACTAACCCATTTGTACTCTGCTTCATCAAAAAACATAGATAAAAGTTTATAAACTATTTAAAAAAATAGTTTAAAAAAAAGTTTATAAAATACTGCTGGATTAATGACATACAAGTGACGCATTTTGGCTCCCAGGAGAGGTGCATGAATTGCCCCACTGACTTGCTGAGGTCTGCACTGAATCAGTGGCAGCTCCCCGGACCCCATAGCCAGGCATGCTCCTCCCAGACTTTTCCTCCCTTCCCTCTCCTTCACTTGTGCTTGGAGGTAAGTTGGAGCTTGCCAGATTCTTGGGTGTTTGAATGTTTTACACCTTTGTATTTAAAACTTTTGCAAAAAGCATCTGAAGTTCACAAATATTGAGTTCTGTGCTCAGTCTGAATGTGTTTCCTGTTAAAAGGGACTGTTTCACGTGGCTGTTTCTGAGGTCATTGCCATGAAAGGCTTCACTGGGAGGGAGAGCTGCTTCCAAAGGCACAAAGTTACTCCTTTGGGACCACTGCTATCTGAAATAGCCTCAAAAGAGAACAACAGATCCTATTCAAGCAGGCTCTGGGCTCAGGTTCAGACACAAACTATAGCTTTAGACCAAACCAGAGCACTGAGTTGGAAAATAGCCAGGTTCAGGAAAAACAAATTGGTTACAAATCTAGACTGGAGCATCATTGCTCAGAGCCAGTTTGAACACATGCTTCAGTCCTTAGAATTCGTTGCATTATGAGCAAGCAGGACATCGGTAAGTGGATGCAGGCTGCTGCTGAGCACATTGGGTCACATGCTGGAGGAGGGATGGTGGCAGCAGTGGACACTGCCACCTACCAAGAGTTGTTTGTGCACATGGGCCTGTTATTTTGGACACACATGCAAATACAAGGGTACCACTTTTGGTCAAGTGGTAGCCAGAGATTGGTGGAGGCAAAGCTGAGGGAGTGCAGCAGGAGGTATTGCTAACTTCGCCTTTGTTCTATATCCTCTCAAGCCAGCTGCTTCTGGCCACTTCTTGAAGTCAGATAGTGAACCAGGCAAAGCTTTTATCTTCCTTGGCATGACAAATTGCTGAAATGCAAAGATATCATTTAATAAATGTTCTAACAAAGGAGGTATACCAGGGCCAACTGCACAGGCTCTGCACTACTTCTATGGGGATTTGGGGGATTCTGAGTCTCAGAAGCTGTCCCTCTGCCAATCCTTGTCAGTGCCCTCCTTCCCATGAGAAGGGAGAGTGAGCTGTACTCTGGTCATCCGTAACTGCACCAGGGCCTGGTGGGAGCCCTGGCCAACCAGTATAATTCAGAAAAGGCTTGGCAGGCTTAGCTTGGTACTGGCTCCCACTCCCAGAATGATCTCATAGGGAGAGCTGAGGAATACTGCTCCCCAAGAAAAAAGATAGGAAGCATTTTCAGACAACCTGATTTTCCCAAGGAACTACAAGTACAGTCTACTTGGCAGGGTGAATTATTTCTGTAAGAGGGCTTGTGCAGGTGGACAAACACTTCTGTTGTTTAAAGTGCACTTGAAATTCTGCAAAAGGAGGCAATTGCTCTTTCATTTTCATTTTAGAAGGACCAGATACTATTTAGTAGCTGTTAGGTCTTGGAACAGCATGCTGGATGGTATATTCTTTAACATCTCGCTCACTTCAGATCCTTTGTAATGGAAGAGAACTTTCCTACTGTCTGGGTGACTCCAACCCCCCAGTCCTACATATGCCATAAACAGAAGAAGGCCTTGACCTACAAGAGTCATCAAAATAGCAGATGTGGTGACTGTCCATCCAATCATTTACAATCAACCTCTTGAGGCAGAAAGATATATCACAGAAAAAAAACAGGCATTGCTGAACAGTCATTACATGGCCACAACCTGCACTGTAGCAGTGATATACACATGAGCCAAATGGTGAACATTGTTATTTTCCTAACAATTAAAAAAACCCCTTTTATTTATAACATGCACTTAGAGATTAAGGTAAATTTCTGCATAGTGGAAGAGTTCTTTATATTCAGTGAAGCAGGAAATGGAAAAAACGGCATCAGTGTTCGAGTTACCCTCTTTGTTTTTCCTACTTTGTCAGTCTGATCCAAATCAATGTCAGTTTTTCTGCTGACTTCAGTGAGACTGTGTCAGGTGCTCCCTGACAACACCAGTGCCTTTTAGCTCAGTTAGTACTTATTTACCCCGGTTGGAAGATTTTAAGTAAGGTTGAAGCCTCAGTGTTAACCTCAGCATTCTGTTAAGGAATCTTTAAGCAGTGACCGTGAGGTCTCCTTCCAGGTGTAGTTTTAGATCTACAGATGAATAGTGTCATGAAAGAGGATGGTGCCATACAGTAATTAGCCTAATTACTACCTACTCAATGGCTATCACTACCATTATGTGGAAGTCCAGGGAAGTGCCTTTGGGAATGAAGAATGAGACGTGGCTTGTAGCATAGCAAAACTGAAAAACAAAGTTCCAGGAGAGTCATCCCTAGCAAATCCTTTTCTGAGAATACGGCTGAAACAACAGCGACAATTGGTAAACAGGCATGAATCAAGCTAGCAGATTTCTCTTGGTGAGAGTAATTAGCTACTCTGCCAGTTTCCAGTCTGCCCTGCAGTGGTGATTGGCTGGTAGAAAATTTTCATGTCAGACATATAAATGTACACACCCGTACACAGGTCCTGACCAGATTATAAATTAGCTTCGCTGTGGAAGCTTCGATGCATAAAGACTGCTTTTAGAAAGAGAAGTGCTCTGTACAAAGCCACTTAATGCAAAGTCTTAGTTCGGTGGATGTCAATGGGACATTTTCCATTTATGTTACGAAATTAGGATTTTACCTTCGGTTTTACTCACACGTATTCTCTCTCCACAAGCCTAATCTTCAGAGGGTTTTGAACATCTGTCAGATTCAAGTGGCAGAAGGAGATGAGCAGGCTTTTTTGCAAAGAACATGCTTTTTTAATGGATTTCACTAAAGCCTGAATTAACCTGACAACACATACAATTCGCTATCACAATTGAAACAAGGGCTAGCTCTTATTTTTGGGTCCATCTGCAGCTCACCCATAATGTGGGAGAAAACTCATGGGATTACACTTCCTCCATACATGAAGTTACTCATAGATACCTTTACTGGTCTAATCCTTCAGTTTATTCCATCCTAAAGCATATTCCTATGCTAAACCACAACAGAAGAATCCATTTGCTGCAGTGGATTGGTAGCCTGGGACAAAATAACTACAGAAGCATAGGAAGGAAGGGGAAAAAGAATAAAAAGAGAAATATTTACCTTCCGCAGGGCACATTCCCAAAGACTAACACTTCTCAAAAGTAAGTAGAAATTCTGAGTGCCCAGTTTAATGTTGACAAAAGGTCAGATTTCCAGAGGTCTGATCCTGAGCACTGTCAGACTACTCTTGAATTCTGCTGTGGGATCTGAAAAATGAAGAATTCGAAATTAGTAGTCACCCAACAGAAACGTTGGCCGATTTTCATGAATTTGATCTCATTCCCAGTTTTCAAACCTCCAGCTGAGTTTATTTTTAAAACTGTTCCACTTCAGTCCAAGTGTTCCTCTCCTAATTTCTTGATCCCCTGCTCTCTTGGCTTCTTTCATTAAAGGAAAAATAGATCAATAGTAAAGATGAAGGAGCTCCTTTTACATGCAAGAAAACACAGGCTGTTGACAGCACCTTCAGTGATTTCTGTATGTTTCTTTCTTTTGCTACTGTCATCATTCAGGTGCTGGTGTGTACAGCATATGTAGCTGGAGGAGGAGGCGCCTAAAATGCAACTGACATTTCTAGTGATTGTTTAAAATTATAAAGATGACACATCATAACTGTATGGAGGTACCTCCTATTGCAGAGTGACAGTAATGAGCAAAATGCATCCCCCACTTGCACTTCTGATTTGTCAGAGTTTACAGTTAAATTATTTGAATCCAAGGCTGTATAGGTCTTCTACTTTCCTTGTAGTCAGCAGCTTACATGTGTATATGAATGTCCTGGGTTCAGCAGTAGCAGTCATTTTTCTCCTTCTTGGTAGCTGGTGCAGTGCTGTGTTTTGACTTTCAGCTCGGGAACAGAGCTGATAACAAGGATGTTTTGGTTTGGCCAAGGACTTTGTGAGCCTCATGCTCTGCCAGGGAGGAGGGGAAGCCGGGAGGAAGCAGAGACAGGACACCTGACCCAAGCTAGCCAAAGAGGTATTCCATACCACAGCACGTCATGCCCAGGAGGTAACAGATAGTTACCTGGAAGGGCTAGGACTGCAGGTTTGGAGGAGGTATCGGTCGGTGCTTGGTTGGGCTGGGGGGGGTGAGTTACCAGTTGGCTGGCGGTGAGGTGTTGTATTCTGTTCCCTTGTTATTTCCTTTATCATTATTATTATTGGTGGTAGCAGTAGTGGTTTGTGTTATACCTTAGTTACTAAACTGTTCTTATCTCAACCCGTGGGAGTTGCATTCTTTGCAATTCTCCTCTCCGCTCCTCCGGGAGTAGGGGGAGGGCAAGAAGAGGGGGAGTGAGTGAACGAGCTGTCTGGCTGGGTTTAAACCACCACAATGAACTAGACAGGAGAGCTGAAATTGAAGGTCTGAATCTTGCAAAACAAAGGTATTCAAGGACATTAAATCTTCTCAAGACTGAAGCCTGACTGGAAAACCCAATGGATAATGGGGTCTAGGTTAATCAGTCATTTCTGCTGGAAGGATTTGCAACCCATCACAGTAGAAGAAATTATCTGTGTTAGTGTTTTATACATACAAACTGTGTTGTGCGTTTGAGCTTTCAATAGAATAGACTAGAAAAGAATCAATTTAAGTGCCAATTTCATTAGATTCTTTCATTTTTGTTTACCCTAAGGGTACATATAATTTGGATTTTTTATTTACAATGGAAAATAAAACAATAAATAACCTTTAGCTACTTCTTTATAAAAAGCAAATACTGGGTAGCAAACCCTGCCTTCTTCAATATTTGTAAAGCTTAGTAAGACAGGGGTTCATGTGAATGTGCTTAATGCTGTAGACATAATAAACTGTGCTTTTTCTGAAACAATATGTATATATTTTATGAAAGCATGAACAGAAGAGAGGCTTTCTGGGGTATGTCAGAGTCACTATGAGGACCAATTGCTCCAGAATTTCAGACAAGCATTTGTGGCAAAACAGAGATGCCCGATCTAGCTCTGCATGAACCTGTTGAGGTACCAGCGTGCCTAGCTCTGTTAAAAGTCATTGTACCAAATGTAAAGAAACAGCACCCCAGGCTCATGTGTCCACCAGGCTCATCTGGCTCTTCTGCTTCTCCAGGCTGAACTTAACAGGATGTTGTTCATTTTAGAACTTTCACTTTCTGGCTTATTGATTATTGTGCACTTTCTATGTAGTTCACTTTCTATTGTAGGCACAACTTAGACAGAAGGATGGTGTCTTTCATTTTTCCTATCTGACCTCTCCTACATCACCAAGACTGGGACATTTACTGGGAATTAGTCAATGTGTGCAGGAACCATCTCAGCCCAGGAAGACCCCAAATTCTGGCTACCTACTTCAATTAGCCATTTTGCTATTACCTAAGAGAACAAGTCACTGTTATTGTCACATCTGATGTATTTGCAAAAAAGTGATTTTCTTTGCCATAGAGCAACTGTTAAGTGCCACATGTGGAGATGGGGGACAATTTCAGGTGTGTGGCTTAGGACTACTGAGACAACATTCGTTTTGAGAGTCAATGTCTTTTGTTAGATCAGCTGATGGAGTTGGAAAAAAAACCTATGTACTTGAAAATAAAGTTAGGAGCAAGCCATTCCGTTCATCCTAAGCAGGATTTGTGTCACTCTGGGACCCCAGTTTACAAATAGTCTGTATGCTACCTGTAGGCTTTGAATTTCTTTCTGACTGCATAAGAACTTGTTAGCTCATAAACTTGTCAAGTGGAACAGACAATCTTAGAAAGGAAATATCATGGGAATAGTGAATATATTATCCTTTAAATTTCTTTATGAAATCAAATAACACTTTATTTTATATCACTTTATTAGGAAGTAGTAAAGGAGGGCTAAATCTCTAGGGCTTTACTAGTGGTACTGCTGGCTATAACACTCCTGATAACAAGCCACATCTGCTGATGACGCTGTTCTGAATGCTCCCTCCTTTCACCTGTTGCTCTCCTCCATACTTCCATATTGGCATGTGTAATTAATTGTGGCCTCCAGCAATAACCACTGTCTTCTCAGACCTACCTTCTTCCCAGGGCTTTCAGTAACAGTATCCACTTAAGTGGCTCAGATCAAGTAATGAAGGAAAATTGTCCTGTCCATATAATAAGTAACAGATAATTACTAGGCACAGAGAAGGGAAGAGAAAGATCAGAGAAAATTAAAAGGCAAATATTCAACAATGAGAAAATAGCCTGGGTCCAGCATCAACGTGAGACGGGCTGGGAGCACAGAAGGAGATTGTTGGGTCAATGATATCCATGTAGCACCAACATGCTTACCATCCAATAAACCACAGCCTATGCTTAATACCTCATCAATCATTGTGTAAGACATGCCATTAATTGCCAAGGAGTGAGTAATAAGAGCAACTCCTACATGCGCCTTCACACTCACACAGGCACACGTGAAAGGCAGGAGCATCCCTTCCCCATAACTGCCCTGGAGGTGCTTCTTTTAAGAGACCCACACCGTTGGGCATGTGCCAGTCCTAGCTGCTGCCATGCAAGCCCAGGGGGCCTTACAGGGTACAGCTCTTCAAGGGTACAGCTCCTGGCCACACATAGATCTGTTATTAATCCATACAGAAAAGAGGAAATGAAATAAAGCGACAAAGAACAAAAAGCAATCTAAATACATACATGGAGTTAGAGGTTCTTGCTGCACTAGGATACCTCCATGCAAACTCTGACTTGCTGGGGTATGGGATATTTGTGGCATCGGAGGACCTTCCCACCCTGCAGGAAAACAAAACTCACCTGGCTTTTGGGAGTGCACCCATCTTCAAAGATGCCAGAATTCAAAAGGTACGGGGTTTACTAAAATAAGCTTGGCTGCTGGGAAGCACTGATAGCAAAATTCACATGAACTTCTGGTATTTAATGATGAACAGTCCTTGTATTCCCATTTTAACTGGACAATGGTCCCTTGGGAATTGTGGGAGATAGGCAGAGGTCTCAATGGGAGCACTGGACTCTGTTATAGCAGCAGATGACTGTGAGTGCAATTGAAAAGACTCTGACCCGCATGTACAGCAAAATCAGTCAGGTTGGGATGTAATCCTAAAACTGATTTCACTGTTTTGATCCAACATCCCCAAATAGGTGTCACGGGAAGGAAAGTGGTGACAGTTACAGGGAAGTGGGACTGTATTTCCTTCGAGGACTCACTCTTTTCCCTATGAGGTAGGTATGTCAATTTGATGTTACTATTAAGTCCTGTGACTGGTACATGTCAAAATGTTAGTGCTCACTGTTATCATCTTTGTGTTTCTCAGCAGAAGGCTGCTAATAGAAGTGACAGTGATTCCAGCTTCTGGTGTGTGAGACGAATACTGCTGTCTCACTTGAGGGGTCTACATTTTTCAATCAGAAAAAAAATAAAGGAGACTATGTATTAGAAGGGCATTAGCAGAGCTTTGCCACACAAGACTGACAGCAAAGTGCTGAGAGTACAAAAGACAACACAAGGCAAACATCTGTTCAAATAAAGGGAGTTAGAGAACTGCCTTTTGTTGTACTGAAGTAATATTCCACCTATAAAAATTAACCACTGTGTTTCTCCTCATGCTTTGTACCCTATTCAGTTCCCTTTAGGATTATGTTTACTGGAAAGTTTTGCTTGTGACATTTCTTTTCATAGCAAGCTAATTTATGGTTCCATGTAGCTTAATCACATTTTCTTCAGCCTTCTATTGACCATACTAGCCTGGGACAAATAAAAAGCCATCATTCAAAGGAATAACGTACCTTCTTAACACAAGCTGACATAGGAAAGCAGGCTAAGGCTCAGACAATCCCAAACCTGATCCATTAAGAGATGACATTTTTAACAACAGCTCTGTCGGACCCCACTGGAAATAATGGGCCCTTATCACGATGGGAATTAGTGAGCACGACAGGTGATTATGTTCTGGAAATGTTCCAGTGCCAGCTGTGTTGCTGCGTGTTATTTGTAACCTCTGTAATTGTGGCTTTTCAAACCCATTTTTATTTGGAAAGCCAGTATAGGAGAACAAAAAAAACCCTACCACCATTTGTTCAGGGATGAAAAAATCAGCATATCAAAGCCTGAACAGTAGTGCCCTGTTTTCTGAATTGCTGGCTTAGATTCCCTTATTCTAACAAAACCTCAAACCCTAATGTAAGCATTGTTACATGTTTCCCTCTTTCCTCATAGTCCAGTTATAGTTCCTGCTTACAAATGAAGGGACTAGCAAGCATCTACTTAATGTCTGCAAAGGCAATTCCTTCCAAAACACCCAAATGGTTGAAAAGTTGAGCATTCACGCTCGAGCAGCAAGGAGGCAGTTTTCTGTGTGTCTGGGGCTTGAACCAAGCAGGAGACAGAAACGAGCCATCTAAAGTTGCTCCCAAGTGAGCTTTATGCATATTTCCTATTGCACATGCTTTTAAATACACTGGAACAACCAGGCTGTGCCTAGAAGGAGGCTGAGTAACTGCATGAGCCTACTACCACCAGCTCTGGTCCCTGCTGCTCTTCTGGTTAGGTCACTATTGTCACATGTAGTCAGTGCTTGACAAAAACCACCCACAGAGAAAGGACACTAATTTCCTTTGCTCTGTGCAAAGCAGAGCAAACTTTCAGTTGCTACATGAATATTAATTCTTTCACACTGTTCATCTTGCCCACCTTGACACTTTGGGAAAATTCTATTCCTTGAATTTCTTTCCTCAGATCACTTCTGAATATAGATTTAGAAATTGGTGGGAGAGTCCCCCAAAATTACAAAAAATTGCCTACCCGTTTTGCAAGTGATGGATTGCTAAGGCAGTAATGTGGGTAGTTATATTCCTGGTGGTAGAGATAATCTAGGCATGAATCACCTTTTCTCCGTTGCTACATATTCAGAGCAAGTACTTTTATATCTGATATCCATGATTTCTGAAACCACCAGAAAAAGAAAAAAGAAAGAAAGGAGTCACATGAGAAAGGAAGGAAGTTTTAAGAGCTTTCCTAGGATTTTTTGTTGCCTGGGTAACCATTTTACTTGGTAATCAATATGTTTGGCATGTTTCTATTGCTTTGTGACTACTCCCACAGACAACATAGAAAGGTGTTTGGGGAAAACACTGGAAGTGAAGACAAATACAAACAATGAAAAAAAAAATGCTTCAAATATGAGAAAAGGAAATAACTTATCCCCCAAATAGTCTGAAGCTGTATCAGGTTTTCTTGAGAAGCAGTGATTTTATTTAATAGGTTTGCAGGATTTGAGAATATATAGGTTTCAGTACAATGCCTGCCAAGCAGAACAAAACCTACAATTTATTTTTGCCCATGTTAAATATATTGCATTGTGCCAATTATTTTGTGGCAAAGTAAAGCACTATCTCTAAGTGAGCAACTCCCATGTCTAAAAAAACACATCGTAATTTACTTTGGCAAAATATCTGAGCAGTGTTACCTATTTAAATTTATCTTCAATTAGACATTCCAAATATTAGGCACTGATCCAATGTACATTGGTAAGGAACTTAGGAATATCCCTGCATAATATCCATGTAGTCTTTTCTATCCAAGCCTTTCATAGTGTTTCTGTAAATGCAGATAAGTATTATTCTTATTCTAAAGGCAGACATATACTGGCAAAAAGTGGTATAATTATTTCCTGAAAGCTTCCACAGCAAAGCAGGACATGACTTGTTGCACAATTATGACTTACTACTTTGTAGACACTTCCGTTGTTCGTATGGCTGCAGTAACGTGGATCAGAAGCTTATTACCCAGTCCTTCTTACTCATCTCTTTCTGCCCCGTTTCTTTTCTTTCTTGAGCTGCTGCATTGCAAGGACTGCATCAGACATCTGTGATAAAGTTGACCTGGGTTAAGGAGGTTGCATGACCTAAAGCCCTGTGTTTCCGAAGAAAAGCAGCAAGGCATCTTTAATACGCTCGTCATTTTCAGAACCTCATCCTACCCCCATGTTCTGAACAGCTCTTTCACCCATGAGATATCAAAATGTTAGAACTATTTATTCAGCTCAGCCTATTTTTTCTTGCAGTCTTTTTCAAACAGATAATCTTCAAAAACTTCACAGCTGAAGATAAAATTAGAAACTGCTTGAAAAAGCTCTCTGCATAGATGGCAAGATTGCAAGAGAAGACATAAGGAGATGTGGTGGAACAGAAAAGGAAGAAGTTTTTATTAAAATTAATGTCTGTATGGATGGGCATTTCCCATAGCTACCAGGCAAGGAGAAATGGGGAAAATACAAAAGTACTGGTTATTAATAAAAGGATGTCGTGGTTTAAACCCAGTCAGGTAATTCGTTCGCTCACTTCCCCCCCTTTTCTTGCCCTCTCCCTGCTCTCGGAGGGACGGAGAGGAGAATCAAAAGAATGCAACTCCCACGGGTTGAGATAAGAACAGTTTAGTAACTAAGGTATAACACAGATCACTACTGCTACCACCAATGATAATAATGATAAAGGAAATAACAAGGGAACAGAATACAACACCTCACCACCCGCTGACCGATAACTCGCCCCCCAAGCCCGACCAAGCTCCGACCGATACCTCCTCCAACCCTGCAGTCTCCCAGCCCTTCCGGCTAACTCCCAGTTACATCCTGGGCATGACGTGCTGTGGTATGGAATACCTCTTTGGTCAGTTTGGGTCAGGTGTCCTGTCTCTGCTTCCTCCCGGCTTCCCCTCCTCCCTGGCAGAGCATGAGGCTCACAAAGTCCTTGGCCAAACCAAAACATCTCTATCAGCTCTGTTCCCGAGCCGAAAGTCAAAACACTGCACTGCACCAGCTACCAAGGAGGAGAAACATGACTGCTACTGCTGAACCCAGGACAAAGGAGCAGGCTATTACTTTTATCCACTGATATTTACTTAGTTCATAAGGCACCCATCCTTATGTATGGGTATTCCTGGATGGTATTGTGCAGATTTTGTGGTATCTGGAGATACCCCATGTCAAAATTTCTCTGTACGGTCAACTCTTACTGAACCAATACAAATATTTTTTTTCTCTGCAAAATAATCAGAGGCCTTGCTGATCAATTTACGTGACAGAGACCTCTGTCACTGATCGTGCCTCTGGTAATCCGTAATGTGGTAAAGGCTGTTCCCCTCCTGGGAAGTGTTGAAAGGTAACTCTGAGATACCAGCGTCAGGTGTTTGCTGCATCTGCTTCACTTGTCTTCCTGCATCTTACATTATCTGTAAGTAGTAGCTACTATTGGTTTTGTTTTCTGTTATAGTTAATGATTCCTTTTGTGGCCATACCTGTGGGATCAAGAGCTCAAGTACCATTGCCTGAGGAAAAATAAGCCTGTGGAGCACAAAGCTCTCATGCCAGTACCTGTTGTTTCTGACAAAGAAAAAATTATGTTTGCAACCAAACTGTAAAGTCTTCCCATCTCTGCTCAGGAAAAAGGATGGATAGCATGTTCGTTGTGAAGCCACAGATGATGGTTTCAGTGATCTCCCTCCAGACAGGTTTGCATGGCAGCTCCTAGAGCCGCCCTGTACTCAGCATGTATCCATCCAGCTACATGAAGCAATGGGTAATAGCAGGGCTTTTGCACGGTCTACTGCAAAATAACCCATTCAGGCCTGTGTTGAGACATTTGTCTATTCATCTGTGCTGAACCCTTTGCTGGGACAGGCAGAGCACCAGCAGTACAGAGCTAGCTGACTCAGAGCTGCCACTCTGGATGCACTCATGGTGTCACAGACATAGGCAGTATTAGCCTTCAAGACCTTACCAAAGTATTTCTTTCTCATTCCTTAGACATGCAACTCTTAATAAACATAAGATTTATGAGAAGCTCATCTTGCATGAAGAAGGCAAACCCACTTTCCTGTCCCAACACTTGCAAACACAAAAAAAAAAACCAGCCCTTTTCCCCATAGTATTTCTTTTCATTTGCATGATCAAACTCTTAATGTGGAAGCCTCATCTCATATATTTTTACCTCTTCAGGTTGACAACTCTGTGTTAAATCTGTTCTACCACCAGGAAGGTGCTGGCAACCTGCTGGTACCAATTTTTTCAGTTTAACCTCTCTTGGCCACCCTTACAGGGAGGATGGGAATGTGGACAGGATTCATCTCTCCCTCAGAGACTCTCCTTATGTCTAATTTCTCTGCTGCACCAAGTGCTTGTCTATCCCACATATTAATTATTTGGAAATACATATTAAACTAGAGCTAGGTTTGAGAATATATACCAGTATGTTAAGGTAATAAAACTTTACAGGGATATTATAATTATCCCATAAAAAAACATGACAATCCCAGTGACTTGAGATAAAACATAAAAGAAATGAACTTAGGTTAGAGATGTGGAAAATGTCTCCATATAACATTTATGAGGCTCTCTACTGAGATCTGGAGAATTTAAAAAAAAAAAAAGGAGAAAAAAATCATTTTAAACTAAAACATCTTCATAAGAAAGTAATCATTGCTTTATGATCCTGTACTGTTGAAGTACAATATGCCTAAACCAGACTAGCTGATGGTGGTCTAAAAGTA